AAACAATGAATTTCGTTAACTGAAACTAAAATAAAAATAATAAGTTAACTATATTTTATTATTAAAATTTTTTCCAGCAGAAAATTTAATTTTTTTTAAACGTACAGTTTTCGACAATAAAATAGAATCAAATATGTAGCTGGTTCCGAAATATGTTTTGCCTATAATCGATTTCTACAATATTTATCTTTGAAAACACTGCAGGCGCGGCTCAGTTACATTTTACTGCTATCTTTGTTTTCAAATTAGGGGTTACATGGGTTTACGGGTTTCAAAAAATTCATTTTTTTATTGTCTTTTTAAATTTTACAACACCTCTAGAAAGAATATTGTTCTAAATTTTCTAGTAATAATTTCGGAAATACAGCCTTGAGAATTTGTACGCGCGAGGTTAGTTGGGCGCCATCGTTAAACGCGTTTTTCTCCGAATTGTGCTTTTGAAGTCGGTTGGCAAAATTTCTCGAGAACTACTCAACCGATCTTCATGAAAATTTACACAGGTTTTTGAGATACATTCTTTTAGGCTTGAACGAAATATTTTTTTCGATTACAGCTGTTTGAAAAACAAAAAGTTGCGTAATTTTTACTGAAATTTTATTTATTTTTTTTTGTAAAAATGTCTGTCAAAAATACAATTTTAATTTTTTTTCCTTTATCCTAGTACTAAGCTAAGGTTTGAACTAAAAAACAAATATTTATTCACTTCTTTTTTCCGAGAAGCCACCGGAAATGGCGTCGCAATGGCCGTGTTTCAAATATTTATTTTCAAAACTTTCAGAATTTCTTCGTTAATAGTGTATGTTTGTATCAATAAAAATTTTAATAAAATATTTCACTTCGTTTATGAAGAAAAGATTGTTGAAAAAAGGCTTTAACCGAGAAACACCATTTAACCTCTATAAGTTATTTTTGCTTTTGAAATGTTTAAAATAAATTTTATTAACCTTAAAAAAATAACTGTTTTCTCCTAAGCACTCTGGTAACACTTTCGTTTTTGCCCATCGTTGTGAAAAAATGTGGATTCTATTTTATTGTCAGTATTGCCAATTTTTAAGAACTGCATTTATTTTTATTAAATAAAGCTGTCATTGCAATTTTATATATATTTTTTTTATATATTATCAATATTTCTTTAAAAGCATGCCATTAAATTTTTTACCTTGTAAAAATAACATTAAAAATTTTAATAAAGTACACAAATATTTAAAAATTTTGTAAATTTTTTTTAACTAAAAAAACACTGGCTCGTACAACTGTATTTCACAAACGCAAGAAGACCAAAAACTCTATACAATTACAGTTATTGGTTTTGTTATAGAAAGTACAAAAAATAAGTATTTACATTACAAAACAATGTCGGTTGAGCGTTACATACAACAACAAGCCGAGCAAAAGCGCGCATATGCAGAAAAATTGGAATTTTGAGTTATTCGCGCTTGAAAATTATCAGGGAAGCGGTGGGTTATTATGGTGCATTGTTTTGGCAAGTGGTAATTTGCAAGGCAACAACATGTTTTGGTTTGTACGCAACATTGCCGCTTTCATTTACAGTTATTCTAATGATTTTTATTTTATAATTATTATATTTTATTTTGTTTTGTGTAATTTCTGTTTGGTGACTGTTTGGTTAGCGTTGTTTGTTTGTTTGTTGTTTGATTTGCTTATTGTTGTTTCTCATAATTTGTAACGGCACTTTATACATGCACTTACCTCTTGCTATAAATGGCCAGACTACGCGCACGCGTTGTCACGCTGCCACCGCCACCGGGTAGTGTCGTTGCCGCAGCTGCCGACGTTGCCGTTGTGGTCGATACAGCAGTGCCACCTTCTCCACGTGTGCCCGGTGCACCAGTTCCGGTTGTTACCGTTGTCGTGTGTGTTGCTGTTGTTAGAAGGTTAATGAGGTTATTATTAGTGCGTGTGTTATATTGATTGTGGTTAGTGTTATTATTGTGGTGGTGGTTGTGATTATTAGTATTTGTGTTGGTGTAATGTGAGTTAAAAACAAAACGATTATTACAATTGTAAAGATTTTTGTTATTCAGCGCCGCCGTTGCTGCCAGCATTGCCTCATGCGCCACCGCTGCCGCTGTAGCAGCAGCCGAAGCCGCTGCTGCCGTTGCAGCGGCCATACTCTGACAATCTGCCTGTCGCAATGCGTGCGGTAGCGCCATTTCTCCTGTGCCACCAGTTCCATGTGCACTCGGCATAATGTTAGCAATATTGTTGCGGAAGGGTTGTGAACGGGCGCGCATATGGCGTTCCAAATCGACGGAGCTGTTGTAGAGGGAAGGAAAGATAGATTGTTATGCTGTGGATTATATAATTTATATTCGGTATATAAAGAAAAGATCTCAGCTTTAAAATTTCAAAACTGCCTTAAGAAAATAAAATGTTTTTATTTATAGCTTGATTTTAATCGCTCAGTTTGTATGGTAGCTACAGGCTATAGGCGTCCAATCTCGACAATTTTTTCTGAGATTGTACCGTTGCCTCGGACAATAATCTGTTCCACACTTCCCCCCCGAAGATTTACCGTCAAAAAATTTTCAATACAAGAAGTTAATTTTGATCGGTCAGTGTGTATGGCAGATATATGCTATAGTGGTCGGATCTGAACAATTTCTTCGGAGATTACACAGTGCCGTTGTACAATAGCGCATGCCAAATTTCGTGATGAAATTTTATTTTTTAGAATATTAAAAATATTTTGTCCAGAAGGACTTGATTTTGATCCATCAGTTTGTATGGCAGCTATGTACATATATGTTATAGCATTTCGTAGGAAAAAAGCGAACTGACGGAAATGGCTAAATCGATCAGCTCGTCATGTCGTTAAAGTATATATACATTTTATAGCGTCTCCGAAGTTTGGTTCGGGACGTTACAAACCTCGTGGTAAACTTATTATACCCTCTTCAGGCTATACAAATTGAACTTACTATGCATTGGCGTTGGTGTTGTTGCCACGTGAATTATGCTGCGTTGTCAACTGTTGTTGTTGTAATATCGTTGGAGCCGCCTGCTGTGACAGCTGTTGCACTGTTGTAGGCTGGTGTGTTTGTTGCTGATGTTGACGCCGCAATGCTTTGATTTGATTTAATTTATCGCCTTGCGTCTGTGAGTTTTGCTTATCAATTGCGGCTTGTGTCATTTTCACCGTCGATGCGATTGTCGGACGCTGCGCTGCTTCCAAACCAATGCAGGGTTTCTTCAGTTTCTTTTCGGCATAGAGCGGCTCAGTCCCGCCAACGGGTGACACACGCGTAACCGCTTCGCTTACAGCGATGGGTGGTGTGCGTCGTACCGGTGGCGTTGGCGGTTTTATACTGTCTACCAGCGAATTTACCGCCGCCGCAGAGGCCAGTGTGGTGCCAACATGTATCGTTGGTGATTTGCGTCGCCTGGTTGATGCTATATAAGTGGCATTGGAATTATCTGTCGTGTCTTCGTCATCGCCATTCTCCTCCGTGATAGTGGTGTCTTCATCACTGACGCTACTCACATTCGCATTGCGACTATCCGCCTTGGCTTTATCCTTGGAACGGCGATTATGCGTCGTAAGCGTTGGTGTAGTCGTTGTTGTATTGTTCGTAACGGTGTTGGCGGTAATTGGTGAACGTGCACGCGTTGTTACACCCGTTTTGACATTGCCATTGGTGGATATCTCTTCGCTGTCGTGTAGATGCATTGTATCCACCTTTTGTGATATACCTTTGACGCAATTTTCTTTGGTTTGTGTCAACTGCGGCACACCACCGGTCGATAAGACTTGTTTCAGAGCAATGCTGTAAATGCCATACTTGTGTATGGGACATTGCAAACCAGAACGTTTGCGCATGCGATCACCTTCGGCCCAGAGCCATGCTTGTTTGCTATGGAACGGAGAGATAGAGAGTAGTAAGGTTATTGACATGTGAACAATTTATAAATTATTTATATTTACTCTTCCATCCATTGTTGTTGGTGGCCAATAACCGAGCCTGGCCGACACAGTCGTAACCAGGCGATAGCTTCCAGCGCTGTAAAGTTATAATGCTTCATGATGTAGGCGCCGATAAGGCTGCCAGTGCGACCTAGACCAGCTGAAAATATAAATATTATATTTTAGTTTATGACTGTGTCCAGATATCTGGAAATGCAGCAAATTGAGGCAGCTTTTAAACAGCTGATAGGTTAAGGACGGCGAAAAAATGCTATATATATCGATTTTATAGCGGATGGGGTAGAAGAGTAAAAATTGAAACTGTTGGGATAGAGTACTCAAAATTCTACGAAAAGATGCGGTGACTTACAGAAGGTTTCAAGACCGGAGCATACTCTTATAGACCCCCAGAGTTCATCTAGTGACTGAGCTATTCAAATACGGTGGCGAAGAACTGATAACAAGAATGCACCAGCTTCTTTGTGGAATATGGTCGGACGAAAACATGCCCGATGATAGGAATTTAAGTGTGCTCTGCCGAATTCACAAAAAGGGAGACCCTACAATCTGCGCCAAGATAAGCCTCCAATCCCGCCGTTAGTTCTGCTTTCTCAAGAATGGATAAGGAAGCGAAGCAAATGGGTCTGGTGGTGAACAGTCGTCGCACTCGCGATTAGGCTCCCGCGTCACTGTTGACAGTCTTAACTTCGAAGTCGTATATAATTTCGTCTATCTTGAAGCCAGACTCGAAATCTAACGCAGAATAACTTTTGGCAACAGGTGCCACTTTGGACTGAGTAAGCAATTAAGAAGTAAAATTCTCTCTCGACGAAGAAAAACCAAACTCTATAAGTCACTCATCATCCCTGTTCTACAATTATCGTCGGAATGGACAAAAATAGTACCGCTCTGGAAGAATTCAAAGCAGTACCCGCCGGGGGAAGCAGAGAAAGCCGAAGATCACATCTCCGTTGGAAAAACCAGGTGAAGAAGGATCTGGCATCGCTTGAAATCTGCAATTGGCGCCACATTCCGAAAAGAAGGAACGACTGGTGCCCTGTTGTTTACTCGGCTATAACCGCCGTGTGTATGCCAGTAAAGTAGACGAAGAATACATTTCCAAGTTTAGACACTCACCTTTGCAATGCACAGCTATGGCACCCTTTGTATTCTCGCATATGGAGAGGAATTTCTTCAATATCAAATCACTTGGCGTGCTGCCATCGATGAAAAATAGATCCTTATGATCGAATCCGGCATTTTCGAAGCTCGACGCATGATAAACCTTCGCATTCAAACGTATCACAGTGGTTACATTGTTCTCATGGAAATATTCAAAATAACGTTCGGGCGAATGACATGGATAACCATTCGGCAGTGTTTTCGACTTCTGATGCGGACCACAAAAAGCAATAAACTTTTGCGGCACAATCCAATTGAAATCGCCATTCTCAACACGTTCGAAATATTCATATTCCTCCGCATCGAAATCGTCGAAGCTGAAGAAGCCAGCTTTCAGCGATTTGTAAACAGCATTCAAGCAATCAATTAGAGAAATCTTATAACCGCTTGGCCCAAAAGAGGCATCACAGAAACGTGTGTAGGCGGGTATATCGCCAGCGACTAGCGGCCGATAGGCGTCCATCGGTAATTTGTTTAGGTATATGATCTGCAGGTTAAAAAATAATTATACTCCAATTCTCAAGTACCTACATATGTACATATATATAGTTATTTAAAAAATAATGCTTGCTTGCGACTTACCGAGTACGAGCCAATCAAATAGGCGGCATTTAGACGCTTCGCCGCATTGAGCGTTGTGTAGTGTATGATTTTCCTGTTGGCATGACATTTTGCGGTCAATTTGGAATTTAATTTTTGGCAGTATCTATATAGCATGCAAATATTGAGTGGTCCAAAATCATTGTAAAAATTCTCATAAATATATTCTTCATCTATGCTGAAGTAGTGTGTGTTGGGCGTGCTCTGTGGTTTGATGTTCTTCTTGAATGTGACAAAATACAAACGATCTGCAGAGAGTTCAAAGAAATAAGCACAATTTTATTCACAAATTATATATTTATTAAAATATTTTTTATAATTCCATAATAGCAATTGTAGAAGGTTTCAAGACCGGAGTATACTCTTTTAGAACCCCTGAAGGTGATCGAGTGACTAATGCCCATAGCATATCAAAATTAAGGAGAGAACACTTCTCCTACCTGCTGAATGGTTCGTATAACAATTTCCCGTCTGAAGAACAACAAAGCGGCGGGAACGATGGATTGCCGGCCGAACTATTCAAATACGGTGACGAAGAACTGATAAGGACCATGTATCAGCTTCTTTATAGAATATGGTCGGACGAAAGCATGCTCTGCTCAATCCATTAAAAGACAAACCCCACAATCTACGCCAACTACCGTGGGACAAGCCTCCACAACATCGCATATAAGGCTCCACTGAGTAAAAGATTAAACGGTGGCCTTCAACAAACTGATTGGACCTTATCAGTGTGGCTTTAGGCCTGAAAAATCAATAATTGACCAGATATTCAACATGCGCCAAATCTTGGAAAAGACCCGTGTAAAGAGAATTGACACACACCACCTCTTCGTCGTACTTTTGAGACAGCACGAAAAGGAGCTGCCTTTATGCTGCTTTGTCTGCATTTGATTTCACCGAAAACTAATACGGCTGTGTAACCTGTAGTGGAGCAATACTAAAAGCTCCGTCAGGATTGGGAAGGACCTCTCCGAGCTGTTCGACACCAAACGAGGTTTTAGACAAGGCGGTTCTTTGTCGTGCGAATTTTCAATGTAATGTGAAGATCATTTGAGCTGCTTAAATAGAGAAAGTGCCATCTTCTATAAGAGTGTACAGCTGCTGGAGTACGGAATCTCCAAGTGGCGCTAAGCAGCGAAAAGGAAGAACGACTGGCTCGCTGTTGTAAACTCGTGCAACAAAAATAATTAACTTGCTAGATGAGACTAGGGTCTGGAATGGTGGTATTGTAAGACGATTTCAATGTCATCGATCATCAGTAGGACGGTTTTCAAGGGAATATACCTAGTCAAAACCACTTTGTAGTCAGATTAATGAAGGAAGACTGAAAGCAGTTGTTCTCACAATAGAGAAGTTATCTGCAATCGCACTGGATGTTTTGTTTCAGGGCGATTCTTCGCCTTATATAGAGCAGCTTGTGTAAAATGCCACAACAAATTGAGATGAACTTAGAACTTTTTGATAACCAAATTTAAAGGAATAGAGTCCTTGGATTGCCCATCAAACAGCCCGGACCTGAATATTATCGAATTTGGGCTCTTAAAAAGTTCAAAGAAGATCCGATGTTTTCGAGCCAAATTTTGTTCGCCGATAAGTCTCATTTCTGGCTCAATGTGTATGTAAGCTAGCAAAATTTGTCAAGAGCACCCATTTCCTCCAGAACGATGTGGCGTGTTTTGTGGGCAGGTGGGATCATCGGTTTATATTTGTTCAAAATTGATACCTGCGAGAACGTAACCGTCAATTGCAACCGTTATCGCGATATGATATCCAACTATTTGATGCCTACAATTGAAGCTCGTAATCTCGACGACATTTGGTTTCAGCAAGACGGGGCCACTTCCCACACAACGCATCAATCAATGCATTTATTGTGAGAACAAATTTCTTTATATTTCATTTCACGTTTTGGACCGGCCGATTGGCCACCAAGATCATGTGTGTATGTTAGACTTTTTTCTGAGGGGATATGTAAACTCTAAAGTCTATGCGGACAATCCCGCTTCTATTCCGTTCAAATGGTCGAACGAGTCATCGAAAACTGAACTCAACGGATGGACCATCTAAGACGGAGTCGCGTTCAAGATTTGCAAGAGATAATCTAAAATAATAAAAGTCAAAGAATGTTCTTTCAAATTATAATAAAAACATTCCCCATTCAATTTAAAGCTTTTGTGTTTTTTCTTTAAAAAGGGGACCTGATCACCCTTTAGTTACGCTGTAGTCGAATTTAATATTTTTTTTTTTTTTGTTTTTCATTTTTTATTAACCCCACATTGATTTACAAAACCAGAATCTACCATACAGTAAAAGATTAAAAAGTTCAAACAATTGTAGTTTAATCTGAGCAAGAAAAAACAAAAAACGCACGAACACGCAAATTGAGCAGCATAAATTTAGAATGAATAAACAAGCATTTAATTCAATATGCCGCAGCATAACAAACAAATACTTTAAGCCGATTGACTCACTGCCCGCACATTAGGTAGTCTAATTGGCATGGCATGGCACACAACAACGCACGCAGTGGTCATGTTCGACAATTGGAGCACATAAAACAATATAACTGTAGTATAGCATGCATTGAATGACCTTGAATTTGTACAACAAATTTAAAGCCACTCACTGAAGTCTAGAACATGAACGCACCCCCACTAAATCGAGTTTTAACACGGTGACGTATATATAGGAATTTTGAAGTCAGATCCCGAAATTCGAAACGGCTCAGCGATTGTAACAAAGTGAGCATATACATATGGACGTACATCCATACACAACTATCAACTGAAAAATCGTAAGCTTAAAATCAAACTCGACTGAGTTCGAAAGCCAACCAACGACATATAAATAGGTATGTATTGAGGTTTATTGCTTACAAACTTTGAGACAAGAAGTTCAATGTTGTTTGCCGCAATTGGCGTAACATGCAACATGCAACCGGCAGCGATTAACAAAGGAAAAATAATTCACTAGAAACTAAGTTCTTTTCGCCTATATAGTAGGTATCCCATACACATGTGTATGGATGTGTGATGGTGCAGAAATTTGTTTTACTTGTTTGCTACACAATGCGCACGAATGACTGCTGCAATTGATTGTGAATCGAAGGGGCAAAAACCATCAAAAACCATTCAGGAAACCGCAACTAAACTCAATTTCGGTTTATTAATGCGTATACATAGATTTATAATATATGTACCTACGTACTCATATTGTATGTATATACAACTGACAGAAAAGTAAAATTTTACACAGCAGAGTGGCTAAACTGACTAAGTAGGCAATTGAGAACCGTTTTGTTACTTTTGAACCTTTGCCAAACCTCATCCACCATTGCAAAAAAAAGTCGAAGTGATGTATCTTGTAAAATTCCAACCTAGTTTAATATTACTTTAGATAGGAGTACAGAAAATGATGACATATTATGACATCTTATTTTTTGACAAGAAATGTCAAAAAAGGTTCATAAAAAGTATAATAATAATAATAAAAGGTCAAAAATTAATGAAAAATATCAACTTCACAGTTGCGCCGACACTTTTGCAGTTTGCATTGGGCCCTGATACAATTAAATCCATTTTTAGTTTGCCCTAGAGTTCAAACTGCTCGTGTCTAAATTTTACAGCTGTTGGATCATTAGTCTGTGAATTATATCATTTTGAGTGAAGCAACTTTTGTTATTATGAAAAATAACAATGATTTTCGCGTGTTGATAAAATACTGCTTTCTGGGCGTTAAAAATAATAAGTTTAACCAAATCTTGGTTTGATGATGAATTTCCAGACAATGTCTCATGAAAATCAACAATCAAGGATACCAATCCTTGGTGAAATGTATACCAAAAACGGTGAACGTAGTGGGCCCCCAAAAGACGAAAACATCAAAAGGGTACAGAAAATAATTTTGGGCGACAGTAAAGGGAAGTTGTTCGGGATAACAGGCACCGTAAATATATCAACTGAATTCACCGGCGACTATTTCCTATATTTTAATATAATTTAAAAAACACAAAAACACACACCTTTGACAAATATTATTATAATATAATATTATTATTATACCTTTTTTGAAATTTCTTCTTAAACTTCCAAAAATCGATTTTTTTTTTTTGCTTAAATCTATTTAAAAATTATGAAAGAATATGTCCCCAAAGTTATAGACTGGAACTCGAAAAATTGTCGAAGCTAAAAGGGAAATAGTGACCGAGCGACTAGCAGATATCTGAGCGATTTTTCGGTTTTTAATTTTTACGATTTTTCTTAGTCAGTAGGGCAATCTGGCGTGATTTTTGACATTTTTTTTTTCATTGAAATATTTATTCTACAATAGAACTTTGTTCACATATCATGAGGTACATATATCGTGGAGTATATAAAAAAAAATTTCGGAATTTTTCGATGACATCTGTCGGAGAAATGGCTGAGTGAATGAGATGCGTTTTCTCACTGGTGGACACGATTTCTTATGTTAGGTTCATCTGAAATACAAAAACCCAATTTATTCTTGAAAAAGTACGTTAATGGTTATCGTCCCTACTAGAATAGAAATATTGATAAATAAAAAGTAATTAACGTTTTTTTTTTAATTTTTCCCCATGTTTGTTTTCATAAATTTTGTCATAACATTGTCAATAAATTATAAAAAATATAGGGACGATAGCCAGGCGTTGTGTGAACATTAAAAAAAAAAATTAAGCAAATTAGTTGAGTAGCTCGACCGGAATCATTTCCGCCAGTTTAAAATAGTGTGTTTTGAGAAAAACGCGTTTTACGTTTGAAATGAAGTACTCCGAGCACTCCGAACGTCGAGCGGTATTATTATATTTGAGTCTTTTTCGAAACCTTCCAATGGTAAAGAGGGTTTCTACATTAGTTCTAAGAGTATAAGGGAACAGAAAATACAAAAAAGAAATATTTTTGAAAAATTCGTGTGGAATTGGGGGGAAGTTTATTACCTTTACCATTAAATTATTTTCTATTTAAACTAAAAAAAAACTAAGAAAAGTCAAGTCTGAACATATTTTTAAATAACATAAAATATTTTTTTTGGTTAAAAACCACTTTTTTCAGCTTTTAAAAAATTGTAAAATTTTACACTTGAAATTTTCTTGGTTTAACTAGAAGATACTTCTTTGAATTTTTTGTTTCCGACAGATATTGCGACCTGCATTTTGCCCGCCGTCCGACGAATGCACTTGGCAGATGCATCGGGCAATTGCTTCCTAAACGCAGAATATCACAGATTT